GACACAGCATTATTTCTGCTGATTAATGTTCTGTATTGTAAATTCTGATGTGTATTTCTACAGACATTAACAAAGTCCCACAGCTGCCCCAAAAGGATACCATGGTTGATGGTATTAAAGGCCACTGAGAGGACAAGAAGAGCCAGGATGGGTGCATTCCCACCATCACACTCCCACCAGAGATCATCTAGAAGTGTGACCAAGGCTGTTTCAGTTCCATATCTAGGCCTGAAACCTGACTGAAAGGGATCCAGATAATCTGTTTCATCCTCGGAACTACAGTGCCACCACCCTTTCTATCACCTTCCCCAAAAAGGGGAGGTGAGAGACTGGACAAAAATTGTACTGGGGTCCAGTAGGGTCCAGCGATGGCTTCTTTCAGAGAGGGCGAACCAGTGCCTCCTTAAATGGTGCCAGGAACACCCCCTCCAGCAAGGATGAATTCACCATAGGTAGGACCCACCCACATGTCACTTCCCGATGGCCTTGACGAACCAGGAGGGGCATGGATATAGTACACAGGTGGCAGTGCTTACAGACCTGAGGATTCTATCTACTTCCTCGGATCCAACAGGATCAAACTGTTCCCAGATAACTGGGTAAGTCCATTCCCCAGGCATCTCCAAAGGACCTACATCATGCTTGGCCTCCAACTGGAAATGAATCTGGGCAATTTTATCCACCAGATGCACAACCTTCACGTGCCCCTGAAGGTAAACCTCTGAGCCCCCCTTATCCAGGAGGACCTGGGTAACCTTAAACAGGGCCACCAGGTGGCCCTCTGTGGATGCAATAAGAGTGGAGAAATACTGATGTTTCGCCACTCTTACTGCCACGAGGTAGGCCTTAATAGTGGCTGTAACTCATGTCTGATCAGATTTGTCCGTTATCTTCTTCCAGTGGCACTCTAAATGTCTCTTGTTCCTTTTCAGTTCCCTCAACTGGAAGAGTTCTAAACCATGGAAGTGATGGGAGCGATGGGCCAAGAGAGGTTGCATGGGCACAATCCTATCTAAGGCCTCAGCCGCCTTGCTATTCCAGGAACTCTACAGCCAATCCCAAGATGGCCTCCAGTAGCTCAGGCAAGAAGGCTGCTATGCAGCACAGAGGCTGGTACAGTAGCAACAGTCCCAAATGATCCCACAAGCCTATTTTCAAAAACAGGATCTCACAATCGGCAACTTGGGGAGCAGTGCCCCCGAAGGCCAACAGAGATTCCCCGGATGGCTACTGTTACACCCCCTCCCCTGCTCTGGAGTCTCAGTTTACCATACCCTAAACCCAGCCAGGCGCATTTCAGAAAGGGGAACCCCCCTTCTGGCCCCAGGCAGGTGTTGGTAATACATATCAGGTTGAGTCCCTGCGGTGCTTCAGCTATCACTCTCAGCACCAATGGGGACTCTAGTCACTAACCTCACTCACTTCCCACTGCATCACCCTAACCACCTTCTCTTACTAACTGGTAGGGTGGTACCCCATCCACTCCTCCCCGCTTCCTGACTCTCGGGTAAGAGGGTAACCTACTCCAAACACACTCACTCCCTCACTCACTCCCACATGCACCCAAACACCCTCTCTTGCCACCACTCGCAGCCGCAGCCACTACTTGCTACATCTGCTGTCACCAACCACCACCACCACTGCTCCCACTCGCCAAGAGAGGCTCCAACTGTTATTGGCCTGGCCAACCAGTGCCAGTGCTCCCACTTACTGTTCCCACTGTTCCTGCCCCACAAGGAGGCTTCGAACTGCAGCCACCAACCACCAGCTTGCTGCCTGTAGCATCCTCGCCAGTCCTGGCAAGGCTGTAGGACCAGCTGTGGAGCCAGGGAAACTAGGGAGCCCCCAGGTAAGGGCACCAGGGAGTCCCCCACCATACATTCTCTACAACCATATCTAGGAGCCTCAAACTGCACGTCCGCATCCATCCATCACCTTTAAAATGATATTTAAAGATGGTGGACGGGTTAGTTGTACTCCCAGTTGTGTTGTCATTTCCAGCACAGAAATGTAACTTTCCATTTGCACAAGGCAAAGGTAAGACTTGTGGCTGGCCACATAAAAGAAGCTGAAAGCTGAGAAAGTGAATGAAGCTCAAAGCAAGGTTAAAGTTGCCATGGCAGAAGAACTTTGATATGCAGAGAGTTTAATGAGGGGAGAAAACTCATTGATGTCTACTCATGTCATGTCAGAGAACCTACCACACCACTCCATTTCCTGTCTCAATGTTCTTTATATATAAAGGTGAAGTTGCAATCTTATATATTACATGTAATAACCTAGAAACAGTAGAAAAGTCATTGAATCTGTGAAGCATTTCAAAAGGCTGCAGAGTTCATTGATTCATGATTCATTTCACTGCAGTGAAGTGGGCCTCTGCATCAATTCGCAAATCTGCTCTGATGAAATGATTCAATCAAATCTTTGGTACATTGGAAGTACCGCTTTGAAGTTTTACACAGTACAGAGCTGTGTTTAAATTCTGATACTCCCCTAATTCTTTGCTTATTAAAAACATTTGTTGTGGCCTAGTTTTAAAAAAAATAAAAACAAGGAAGACAAAGAATAATATCAGAAGAAGAATTTTGCACCTCCTTTTCTTTTACAGTAGTTACGACAAACAACTGCAGAGACAATAAACACTGGAAATAATGTGAATATGTATTATTTAGTGAGAAATATCTAGTATCAAAGATGAGGAAAGCAGGTAAGTTTTTAGTGAGAAGAATACAGTTTTCACAGAGGACTAGTCTCTTCAGCTCCTAAGATATTTGTGCATTTGACAGAATTTTGCACAAATCACCAATTTCCATTGCTGCTGGAACATACATATTAATATTTTCCACCTGTCTGATAAATATTGTGAATTTATGTAAAATCTACGTGCATTTCAGTTATATCCTTCATCATTTGGACAGCAAAGTACCCACAGAAGAATTGGTCCATAACACCTGCAAACACATGACAGGTAATGCAGTGTTCTTTATTATTTCCTTGGGAAAAGCAACTGTATTGATCAGTCCTTGTGGAAGAAACATGCCTGATGGTCTGGTGGAACTTTGCAAATGCAAGTATGGATAGCAACCACAGTCCCATGATGCAGTGGATCTCCGCTGGTGGCATGTGTACCACAGGTGTGGCTCAGAAGTAGTCTAGGTGGACATAAGGTAAAACATTGAAAGTTTAATTAAATCTTTAAAATTTACTGCAAATAGTAAATATAAAAACAAAATGCCAGTAAACTTATAAAAGTTCTTGGAAAAGTGTTCGTCTTCAGTCATGCAGGAACCTAAGTGCTTTGATAAAGTAATTGGTAGGACATAAGATACAAAAGGCTGAGAACCTCTGCCACGTTATACAGAAAAAAAATGTGGAAGCTCGAAGTATACTGCCTGTTTGAATTTACAACTTCAGAGTACGGTTGACAGATCTCCTGTCAAAAGATCGATCAGAACTTAGCATCTAATACTGTAATCCTCTTATATGTATAATGTCTATATATTGGAAAATAGATACATTAAATTTCTGAGCCAAGAAAAGAAACAAGTTTTAACCAACTAACAAATAGATTTCAGTTCCATCTTTTGTAGGGCAGACCAATCACAGTCTCAATAGTAATGCATTGATTTAACTAGATTAACATATTTTGGTTCCTCCAGGAATCATTAGGGAAATCTGGGAGGAGTGGTGGTGGGGTTAATTAAAATCATATTTCTTTTGTTTCTCTATTTCAGGGATTCACAAGCATTTTCAGGGGGCAGGGCTAGGGGAAAAAACCCCCAAATCTAATATACTTTATGAGATGAATAAAGAATACAGTCCCCTTAGCTTCAGCTTGCATCTTTCACCATGGGACGGAAAAGTTTTCAGAACTGATATTCTTCACCTTTTTCTCTTTTCTCCTCAGACTTCTCTCTATGTCATCTTAGAGCTCTGATCCAATTGTGGCTTTATCAGCTAAAGCTCAGCTATAAGCACTTTGCATAACTCTAGGTAAAAACCTCTTCCCTGACTTTATCTGTTCAAGCATTTACCTGAAATCTAGCATTAAAAATAATTAATTGTTGTTTACATAGTTATTAAGTCAAATGGATTTTCATAGTTCTGGAAGAGATGGAGCAGAGACAGGGAAAGCATCAACCATGGAACTTTTTTCTTTCCTACAAAATATTCCAACTGTATTTATTCAGAAATAAATCTACTAAACTGTTCATCAGACTTATACCCATAGCTATGATTGTTGGCTTCAGGGTTTTATTTTCTCCAGAATTTTTAATTTCATCAAATGTGACATCAAATAGGGCCATCCAATGAAGCAACATGTATTTTATTCAACACCAATCCAATCATCACAAACTCTTCCATTCAATGTGCACTTAAGGAATTCCAGAAAACACCTGAGATGAATAGATTGACCTATCACTCAAAATGCCTCAATGGAACTTTTATTTTCACGTTAACACACCAGTTGAGTTGGCACAATGGATGGGACTAAAAAGTGGTTGGATAATAGGGGTGTAAAGGGTCTTGAAACCCAGCAGACTGTCTGATCACATTGGAACACTCATACCAGCACCTTCCTAGGTCGGTTCAGAACTTGCAGCAAAGTGTCTGTGTGTGTACAGCTACTACAGTCAATCTGTAATTTCTCATCCCTGCCCTTACTTCCTTTTCAGTGGGCAGCAATGCTCTACTTCTTGGATTAAATTCTTGGAAAGTGAGGCCAACAGTGCCCAAAGGGCAGTCTGGCAGGAGAGAAAGGCATCTCTGTTAAGGGGAGGGCCCTCGAGGCTTGGGGTTGGGCAGGGTTGATGTGGGTCGCGCGGGGGTGTAAGAGAAGGAGGTCTTGGAGGGCCGGTGGGGAGGGGGTGAGATCTGGTCTGGGAGGGGGGCAGATGGGCAGGCGGGTGGGCGGCGCCGCCCGCTCTTTCCTAGCCCACTGGTTCTCCGCTGCTGGTGGGTCCGGTCCCTCTGCTCGTGGGTCCCTCTCGCTCGAGCTGATGGTGCGCGAAGCGGCCGAGATGAACGCTCTGGAGGGCCAGCAGCCCCTCAGCGCTCGCGACCTGCTGGACGCGGCGGCCGCCTTCTGCGACAACCGGAGCCTCTTCCCGACCTCTCAGGCGCCGAGAGCCCCGCAGCACGGCGGCTACGGCCGGGGGGACTCGGGCGGCGGCGGCGGCCCTTACCTGTGGCTCAACGGCGCGCCTGTCGCGCCGGGCCC